GTACACAAAAAAACATGGCCGGTAAAAATATCGTGCTATACTGATTTCTATTACCTAACTTTTACTGCTTCCATATCAGCACGTAAAAGCCTTTTCAGTTCCTTGTCGACTTCTGGTGCGTCCATGTACTGAAAAAAAGTAAATCAGCTGTAACTTTGAACCAAGCCTTCTTTGTGTACCTTCTTTTTTAAGGTTTTGCGGAATCTCCTTTTTCGAACATTTTTCAGCGGAGGAGTCACTGAAAAAGGGACATAAGGAGGCAAGTCACGACAACGTTACAGAGAGAATAAATAACCATCTTCTACAGATTATCTAACGCGATTACTACATTATTTGATATCTAAAATCTATCTAAACGTCTATTATCTATCTAAACTCCGCGCTCGGAAAGTCTGAGGGATTGTTAGCAAAACTCATAAAATATCGTTAAAATAGATCGATTCTGAGGCAATGGAACCGATGTCAGAACAGACATGATTAAGGAAAATAGGACTTTAGCCAGCTAAACACTGACAGACCCCAACTTATACAAATTTGACTTAAATTATCCTCAAAGAGTCATGAAAAAACTTGGTTACAAAGCTTTATTTAACGGTCTACGCGACTCGCACGCTACCAAACAATGGTCATCAGTAAAGCAGAAACAGCTCATGCAGAATATGCATCCGTCCTCATAAATTCGTTTTATTACTGAACGGGGACGTGCTGCGTATTTGTATTCATACACTTTAACAATTTTAAGTGCTTGTTACCGCTGTAGTAAAGAACAGTAATGATTTATGAAGGAAATAAAGAAGCTACTGTTCAACGATCTCTTGATAACTTAATAAAGAAGATCGAACATAAACATAATTATAAGCATATTTTTAAAATTTTTACGTACTATTTATACCGTATTATATTACATTCCATTAATAATGAAAGTGAAATCAAATTAGTGGTGCATGCTGTGAATGAAACTAAGAGATGCAGCCTTAAAACGTTAATGTACTTGTACTGTAAACGCGATAAGAAACATCGTATGAATAACGTAATATTCGTGTTACATAAAGGTTTTCGAAACTTTTACTTAATTCGCGGTGTTTCCGTAATGAAAGTGTCACCTTCGCGATCTGCTGGTCGTTAGAAGTTGTCAACGGCAGAGACCAGTAGAAGTTGATC